GTGTGTGTGTGTCTGTGTGTGTCTGTGTCTGTGTCTGTGTATGAACAAATTTGTTACTTTAAATAACTTGTTTCTCTCTCTCTCTCTCTCTCTCTCTCAATCTCTCTTTCTTTCTGGCTTTTTAAAATTAAAACTATATAAACATAATACAATAAAAAATAAAATAAATGTTAACTGAAAGAAAATATATAATATAAAATATTTATAAATTATAAAAATAAAATAATTGTAAATAAAATATATAAATACATACTTATTTCAACATTTCTCGTTTTCCTTTATCTTGTAGTAAATAACTAAAACTAATAAATGAAAAAATAATAAAAACTATATAGGCGTACATAAAAAGAATATAAAATTAACAATAATAACAAATAAAAATGGCAAAACAACAACATTACTAAAACTTTAACTAAAATTAAAGTGAAAACATACAAAATACAAAAATAAAATCAACATATTAACAAAAACTGTAATAGTATATCAATGATACACTAAAATAACACTGGAAATTGCTTCTGTGTTATTTTTGCTATATTTTAAATGTGCTCTCAGACTTTTAAACCCTGCTGTATATTGAAGTCTGTCAGAAGGCTCAAATATATCAAGATATATTGTTCAGATATTTCATGCAGCCGTGTTATAGTGATGGGTCGGTCGCCTGCGGGCACTTCTGTCTAATGCAGAGCCGTCAGATCGCTGCTATTGTGTTTTCTTCATCACTCAAGCCCTTTCTACAGCCATTGCTGTGTAAGAGTGTGTGTGTGTGTCTCGCCGGGAGGCTGCAATTAAGCTCAGCGAGTGCTCGTCTCCTCTCTGAGGCCGAGGGCTCGTCACCGGTCCACTCATCAGCGTCTCTACCCTTCATTCACAATCACTTGTTCTTCCGTCTGTCTGTTTTTCTGTCTGTCCTGCTGATTTCGTCTGTCTCTCACCTGAGAGCCTCTCAAGACGGCTCGAGGCCCTCGAGTAAACATCATGTATTAATAGAGCCGTAATGTCACCGTTTGCTTCAGCAAGAAACATGAAAGGAATTATTCATCTGTCATCTGCCTTCAATGTAACACCAGAATCCAGAAACACATTCCTCCGGCGGGAATCACCACCGTGACATTCTGTCATTATTTACTCACTCCAAATGAGTGGACATCAAAGTTTGGGGTCAGTATGATTTGCATTTTTGTTAAAAAGTGACAGTAAAGACATTTAGAATGTTACAAAAGATTTCTATTTCAGATAAATGCTGTTCTTTTGAGCTTTCTATTCATCAGAGAATCCTGAAAAATAAAATATATCACGGTTTCCACAAAAATATGAAGCAACACAGTGGTTTTCAACATTGATAATAATCAGAAATGTTTCTTGAGCAGCAAATCAGCATATTAGAATGATTTCTGAAGGAGACACTGCAGTAATGATGCTGAAAATTCAGCTTTGATCACAGAAATAAATTACATTTTACAACATATTTACATAGAAAACAGTTGTTTTAAATTGTAAAAATATTTCACTTTTTTTCTGGATTTTTTTTATCAAATAAATGCAGCCTTGGTGAGCATAAAAGTCTAATTAACCGACCCCAGAATTTTGAACAGTAGTTTATGTATAGATGTTTTGAGTATATATTATAGTATATATTTGAGAATATTCAGAATATCCTCTTTTCCATATAATGAAAGCATATGCAAGGCTATTAAGCTCCAGAAAGACAAACAAAAAAATATAAAATAAAATAGTCCATATATTAGTGCGTAAGCCGTCATATAACTTTAACGTAGTGCACAAGTCTTCTGGACTGTTGTTATGATATTTTTATGGTGTCTCTCTGCTGTTTTTGGACCTCAACAGCATCCCTCCTAATTCACTGTTATTGTATTCAAAAGAGCAACGTGAGCATTCTTCAAATCATCTTCTTTTGTGCTCCACTGAAGAAAGAAGTTCTTACATGTTTTGTATTGACAAGGGAATGGCTAAATGATCACATTTTAGGGTGAACTAATATTTTTATCCAAACAAGTCAGGAGATTTTGATGATGATTTATTGTAGATCTTGTGTGAATGCTGAGAGCTTGTGTTTTATTGATGTGGTGTGTTTGGTTAAGGTGTGTGTGTGTGTGTTTTGACTGATATTTCAGTGCAGCAGGTTATTACTGAAACACACACACAGAGCGCTGACTGATTTGTCGTGTTTCACTGGCAGGGCTCAGATGTGGCGTCTGTGGTAATTTCCTGCCGTTCGCTCTGTTTCTGTTTCCACGCGCAGACGTGAATGCGTCAGAGAGCTTGTAAAGGCCTTTAGCTTGATGTATGATGCTTCTGGGTGAAGCAACCAGCAGTAGCTCATGGGGTTATTGATTAGCTGCTTTAGCAGCTCTCTCTCTCTCTCTCTCTCTCTCTCTCTCTCTCTGTGTGTGATTTTAATACAACCTTATGTCAAACAGATCTTGTCTAAGAATAAAAAAATTGGTAACACTTTACAATAAGGTTGCATTAGTTAGTTAATGCAAAAACTAACATGAAATAACAATGAGCAATACATTTGTCACAGTATTTATTAATCTTTGTTAAAGGAAAATGTAATTCAAAAATAAAAATGTGCTCACCCTCCGGCCAGGATAACCTGAAGGTGAGGACATTTTAAGCAAATTTTCATTTTCGGGTGAACTACTAATTTAACGTTAGTTAATTCAAATACAACTGTTCATTGTTAGTTCACGTCAGCTCGGGTCCATTATATAATATTAACAGATACAGATACTGCTGATTTTAATAATGTATTAGTAAATGTTAAAATTAACTAAGATTAATAAATGCTTAAGTATTTTTCATTGTTATTTCTAATGACAAATGGAACCTTAAAGTTCTATCGAAAAAAATCATTGATCTAAGGCAAGAAAATGGAAAGGAAAATAGGAAAGGGACAGCGAGTGTGATGGATGTAGTGTTTTGCTCTCAGCCTTGTTGTGTAGCTCATATATTTCAGTTTGTCCCTGTGAGACTGATTAACTGTGTGTGTGTGTTAGGGGTTGAATGTGTGATTATATTACTGGATGCTCGAAATTGAACGGGAGAATGCACGTTTTAAACAGCTTATTGTACAGGTACAGTTAATCGCGTTCTAATCTAATGCGCTGCTGCACTGTAACGCACGCACACACATTACAGACAGTAGCTCGTACATCTCGCGCACAGAATCATTCAGCGTGGAAATGTATTGTCAACACTGTTCCGTGATTTCTCAATAAAATAGCTTAGAAACTGAAAAGTTCAAGCATATATTTCTTAATAACTAGTAAATCCCACAGCTTCACTACTAGTAGAGAGACGCTGCCAGGTAGAATTAATTCACACA